AAAAAAAAAAAAAAAAAAAAAAAGAGACAGGGAATGCACCGAGTGTGAAGTCACAAGCTAGTATCACTGACTTTTTTTTTCCAGTTTCATCAAAATGGTTGTTAGCTCCCTCAAACAGCTTTGCCTGATTAAAAAGTTGAATGGGGACCAGCAGTTAGCGTAATGGCTATGTCGCTGGACTCCCATGTAGTCGACTGCAGTTCGAGTCCCATGCCCGGCGGCTTAAACTCACACCGGGCACGTGTGCGTGCGTGCCCAAGATCCCGAGAGGAGAATGGAGGAGAAGGGATTGCGGCGTGGCCATCTCCCCTGGGGGGTGATTTCTCGCTTTCTGTCTCTCTGTCTCTGTCTGTCTGGCGAGCACACCTGCCCTATAGCAAAAACCTCTCCAAAAAAAAAAAAGTTGAATGAAAAACCTGGCTCATGCTGGACTCTAGAATGCGGTAGTCACCACACACTACCAGTGTTCACTGGAGCTGCACAAGGCCCTCCCGTCTCAGCGTTTCTGTGGCATGACTTACTCGTGGCTGGGAACTAGCAGGTGGCACTGGCGATGTGGCAGCTGTATGGAATCCGAAGTGCTGTGCTCAGCCTCCTCTGCTGGTAAGCAGACACCGAGTCTGAGAACGGAGGTTTGTCCAGTTCATGGTGTGGAGACCCAAGGCCCAGGGGCCATCTCCGGTGTGGTTCTGGCCACATCGTGTGGGAGGGCAGGTCTCTGCGTGTCCACGTGTCCTGCTCTGGACTCAGCCCCCTCTTCAGACCCGCCAGGATGCTTCCACGGGTTCCTGCCTGGGTGGCCTCCATCCTGACCTCCTGAGGCCCCACCTCCCACCACCACAGACGGACTAAGTCTTCACCCTCCTCAGTCTGTCACGACCAAAGCACACATGAATTTTGGGGAAGGGACCTTTGACCCTAGCAGCACACCCAGCGCAGATGAGGTCACCCGCTCCTGAGTGATGGGGCTGTCCTGTCATCACGGCTCCCTAGACAAGCAGGCTGGGCACAGGCAACTTGTTTTGGTCACACACCCATTAAGTGGCAGTAAGAGCATTCGAATCCAGGCAACTCTGACTCCACAGCCCATTTTTTCCTTTCTTGTTAAAGAGGTTTTGGCATCAGGGCATGTACACTCACCAGGGAGAGACAGAGACACATGCAGTGAGAGGAAAGGCAGAAATCATCCCCTGGGGGGATGGCCGTGCTAATGCGTGCACACATGCACACACACACAACGCCGGGGGTGATTTTTAAGCCACTGGGTCCAGTACTCAACCTGCAGGCCATGTGGGAGTCCAAGACCTAGCACTGCACCGTCTGCTGGGCCCTCACTGCCCAGTTACTTTTTTTTTTGAGAGGCTTTTGCTATAGGGTGCGTGCGCTTGCCAGACAGACAGAGACAGAAAGCGAGAAATCACCCTCCAGGGTGGGTGGCCACACGCAATCCCTTCTCCTCCATTCTCCTCTCGGGATCTTGGGCACACACACTTATGTGCCCGGCATGAGTTCAAGCCATCGGGTCCGGAACTCGAACCGCGGTCGACCACATGGGAGTCCAGTGATATAGCCACTAACTGCTGGTCCCCATTAAACTGCTCTTAAAACTGAACTTGAGGGCCGGCAGACAGCATGGGGGTTAGGGTGGTTGGGTCCCAGGTGGCTGACTCCAGGTGAGTCCCGGGCATGCTCAAAGTCCCAAGAGGGAGTGGAGAACGGTTGCAGCGTGGCCACCCCCGCCCGGGTGTTTTCTTACGTTCTACCAAGTGCACACAGCAAGGAGTTTACAACCTGAACTTGAATGCAGGTGTCTGTCTGTAGCATGCAGTGGCAGTGAAGTGTGACAGTCAGGAGCACACAGTGGAAGAGGCGTGCTGGTCGCTTCATCACGGAAGTGGCTGCGGGGCCTTGAGTGATGTTCTCAGGAATGAGCTGGCTCAGAGCCGCGACTAGAGTGCAGGGCGTGCCTTCACCTTCGCATTTGTCCCATGTGACCTGCCTACCTAGGAAAGCATCTTATCAACTCGTTTGGGCAACAGCCATGACAGGCTTTGGTGACGACAGGAGTAAGGACCTTGGTGGCCCTCGGCTGTCCGTGAAAAGCCCTTCAGGCACTTCCGTGTTCCCCTGCCACCCAGCTGCTCTGAGGCAGGGTCCACCTTTGAGTCTAGAAATACCAAAGCCAAGTCTACTCTACCTTTGTCAGGCAAATGCAGGGTGAAGAAAAGCAGTGAAGAGCGAGAGAGCCACCACGTCCGGAAAGGCTGTGCTCACAGGCCCTTCCTTCCGGCCCCAGAGCCTGGCCTAGGGCTGTGATGGCCCTGCGTGGCCGAAAGCGGTCACGCCAGCTGTGTGTGTCTCACAGCTCCGGTGTCACGAACACGCCAAGTAGCCACCCACAGATCTGCAGTCCTAGGTTGGAGTCAGGGTTAACCCATCACAGCGCGGCCACGCGGTGCAGGCGCGGTGCTCGGAGTGCTGGGCCCAGGGGTGGGCGCCGGTGCCTCCCTGTGCACCTGGACATGGCCTATGCCTGCGGCCGGACCAAGGCGGCTGAGCCTGGGGGAGGGTCTGCGCGTGGAGACGCCCGGGGTACCCATCTTTCAATCCAGCCTCTCAGGAAAGAAATTTTTTAAAAAATCACCAAGATGAGTCTACATCTTTGAAAACGAATTAGAGGGCCACAGCCACATTGAGAATGGGAAGTCAGACTGTGGGGAGAGGCGCCGGGGCCCGGTGTTCAGCCCTGTGACCAGCTCCACGGCGCCCTGCCTGTGGCTGGGGGTGCAAATCCTTGACACGGCACACAGTAACCTC